ATTTTGATTTTGATGAATGATGTTGCCGTGGTTACTAAAAATAGAAATTTCTGTAAAATTGTTTCAGAATGCTACTCCTCCTACAGTTTTGGTCTGATTTCAATTTAACTTGGCACACAAGTAGACTACACTAAGATACATAATTTTGTGCATCGGTTTTTGATTTCGATGAACGGTGTTGCCGTGGTTACTAAAAATAGAAATATCTGTGAAATTGTTTCAAAATGCTACTCCTCCTACAGTTTTTGTCTGATTTCAGTATTACTTGGTACACAAGTAGACTACACTAAGAACATAAAGAGACTTTATCAACGATCATTATTCTATTTAATGCTGTTTATAAAGTTTTAAATCCCAGCTGCTTAAGTACTTTCTCTTCCTTTGCTATAAGTTCAAACCAGTAGAGCTTCAGTCTCGACAGAGACTTCTGGTTCAAAATGCTACTCCTCCTACAGTTTTGGTCTGATTTCAATATAATTGGCACACAAGTAGACTACACTAAAGTACATAATTCTGTGTATCGGCTTTTGATTTCGATGATCGGTGTTGCCGTGGTTACTAAAAATAGAAATTTCTGTAAAATTCTTTCAAAATGCTACTCCTCCTACAGTTTTGGTCTGATTTCAATATAACTTGGCACACAAGTAGACTACATTAAGATACATAATTCTGTGTATCGGTTTTTGATTTCGATGAACGGTGTTGCTGTGGTAACTAAAAATAGATTTTTTTGTGAAATTGTTCAAAATGCTACTTCTCCTACAGTGTTGGTCTGATTTCAATATAACTTGGCACAAAAGTAGACTACACTAAGATACATAATTCTATGTATCGGTTTTTGATTTCGATGAAAGGTGTTGCTGTGGTTACTAAAAATAGAAATTTCTGTGAAATTCTTTCAAAATGCTACTCCTCCTATAATTTTGGTGTGATTTCAATATAACTTGGCACACAAGTAGACTACAATAAGGTACATAATTCTGTTTATTGGTTTTTTACTTCAATGAACGGTGTTGCCATAGTTACTAAAAATAGAAATTTCTGTTACTAGTATATACTCTCAAAATGCTACTCCAAATACAGTTTTAGTCTGATTATAATATAATGTGGCATGCAAGTAGACTACACTAAGAACATAATGAGACTTAATCAAGGATCATATTATCCTATTTATTGCTGTTGTAAAGTTTCAATTACCAACTGCTTAAGTACTTTTCTCTTCCTTTGCTATATAATAAGTACAAACCAGTAGAGCTTCAGTCTCGACAGAGACTTCTGGTTTTTGAAATGTCTTGATCACCTCATGCGTTCTCAAATGCTTTACCATCGGAGATGTGCACAAATCGATACCCAATCCAAAAAATCATTCAAGTGTAACGAGCGCATTGGGGTATACATTGTTACAATGAGACAAGGTTATCTGAAAGAAATATGGCGGAATACGGCTATAGTTGGTATGAAACAAGTCGTACATAGATGAAAATGTTGCGTTTTTAAGAATTCATGTCAGCTTTAAAAACCTTATTGACAAACAGTAGTTCCTGACGGAAGTTAAGATCTGTTGTGAAGTCAATTTTGAAAAAAATAAGTTTATCGGATATATCTAATAATGAAGATAATTCAAACCCGAGTATTTTTGTCTCTATTGTCACAGATGAAAATGTACCATCGGACATTTTGACAAATACTTTGGATATTTTTAATTCAAAATTCTTACATCTGTTTTTAATTTGATCAATTGTCATATTTGCTTCAATCTGTCAGAATTATCTACTTTGAAATGTTTAATTATCTTAATTAGCCATGAGTGATATGACCAGATGGACTGTGCTTTGTGTGACTTAATTATTGTTTATTTAAAATCATAATCTTTAACTCTACTTGTAAATCAAATTAACTTATGTCACGTTACTCAAACTTGTCAATTATCAAACTTGTCTATAAATACAATGTTTTTGTTAACATGCGGAGAGTTGGAATCGGGACGCGCTTGTCCCTGATACTGTCCGACCCGACGAGAAATAAAGGTCTGCAAATCGTAAAGCGGCTTCATCTTCATTTACTAATAGTCCACCCTAGTGGCTTTCTGACAAGCCCACGCATCTTACGCGAGGGTGTGATAAGTGGTGCAGATAACCGGGTACGACCCCCTCTCACAGCCAAGCGAGTTCTACCATTTGATTCCCCTACCCTAAACAAGAATTCCCCAAATTCAGAAAAACATCTTAAACTTCGTACATGCCGCTATGAATCGCAGCCTTGGACCACAACGGAGACCTATGGATTACTCCTTTCAGCGTCAATTTCCAGTTTGTGGCCGATGCGGAATTGTCCATGGACCCAGTTGCCGTGCTCAAATGGAGAAGTGTTACAGATGTAAGCGTCATGGTCACTATGCTAGAATGTGCAGGACTGTTCTCTCTTCCCCTGTGAGGATGACCATGATGGCAAATACTAGTGCACCAATCCAAGAGCAACGTTCCGGTAGACGAAAGTCCAGAGACAAAGTTCGTATGGATAAATACCTACAAAGCAAATCTCATCTCCGCGAACTGCCTTTCTATAATCTAAGGAATACAGCGTTCAAGAACACCCTCAACATCCATCATGGACTGAAAACAGAAAATCAACAGTTACGTTTCAAAGTGAAAGAAATGGAAATAATGTATGCTGAAGCAGTAAATGTGATTATTAACCTGGAAGAAAAATTTAATAAACTTTCAACGATACAGCCATCTGAATCTCACTCATCTATCTGCAATACCGCCGAAGATAAACTTATCATTTCAAACTTACAACAAGAAGTTCAGACTCTACGGCTTGAAAAGTCATCTCACAAACAGCTAGTAGATTCAATTAGTGCTAACGTCCAAGAAGAATGGAGAGAAAACAAAGCAAGACTTCAAGAAAGGGACAACACCATTCTGACCCTGAAAACCGAAAACATTCAACTCTTGAACAACCAGGAATTGTATTTACAACGAATTCGTGTACTTGAAAATGAGGCCTATAATCGTTCCATCAAAACCCTAAATTACGGACAAAACCGGCAAAATATTCATTTCGGACATCAAATTTATTCAAGTGAACAAACCTCTAGTGTACATGTACCTATTCAAAACACGAGGCCGTGTTTTTTACTGGGGCAAGGGGGTATTGTCACAGATGAAAATGTACCATCGGACATTTTGACAAATACTTTGGATATTTTTTATTCAAAATTCTTACATCTGTATTTAATTTGATCAATTGTCATATTTGCTTCAATCTGTCAGAATTATCTACTTTGAAATGTTTAATTATCTTAATTAGCCATGAGTGATATGACCAGATGGACTGTGCTTTGTGTGACTTAATTATTGTTTATTTAAAATCATAATCTTTAACTCTACTTGTAAATCAAATTAACTTATGTCACGTTACTCAAACTTGTCAATTATCAAACTTGTCTATAAATACAATGTTTTTGTTAACATGCGGAGAGTTGGAATCGGGACGCGCTTGTCCCTGATACTGTCCGACCCGACGAGAAATAAAGGTCTGCAAATCGTAAAGCGGCTTCATCTTCATTTACTAATAGTCCACCCTAGTGGCTTTCTGACAAGCCCACGCATCTTACGCGAGGGTGTGATACTATTATAAGAAGCCTTAGTCATAATACATCTTTTCAAAATTAAGAAATTAATTGAATATAATCCATAGTAATTTTTATATTGATATGCATATTTAAAGACTAAAGGAAGATCAGATATTTTAAATAATTTTTTTGAAAGGAGCTAAAATATTGTCCGTGTACAGGTTATATATGTACTTTGTTGTGAAAAAAATGCTTGGGTTCGTTCTTCATGAGATAAACAAGCGATAAATTTAATTTTTCGAAGGTGATTTCACGCAATATCAACAATGATCAACATAGGATTATTTTTTGTGTGACCTAACAAAAATTATTTTTTTAACTTTTGAATTTTGATATCTTTTAAAAGAAAAGGACTTTGGGGACATAATTTGACAAAAGTTGAAACAATTTATGGACAATTATTTTTCAAGAAGAAAATCGAATATATATTTTTAGCGATTAGAATCGGACCAAGCGGCTTTAACATTTTTTCAGGAAAAATTCGTGTATATATATGGTGTACATTTAAGTACGTGAATGTGTATTTAAAAGATTGTTTTTATTTATGATTTAGTGTAAACAATATTAATTTATTAATTCTATTTTCTTTCAGACAGGACTGGTGACGATCAACTTGATGTCCCGGTAAGTTAAGGTTCCTGTTATAAATATGCACGGGGTGCACAAGACCTTATTTTGTACAGGGGTGATGCGTTCAATAAAAAACAACAACAACAACAACAACAACAAAAACCAAGATACTATATACCGTATACTTAATAAAAAAAATCAACAACAAAAAAATCGAGTAGGGGGGGGGGGGGTCATTATGTTGAACGGGAATTGAAAGTTTAATACATGCTCATGTTAGGTATGACATGATCTGAAATTAATTTCAGAGACGGTTGATCTGGAGATAATATGCAATATTTGTTTTCCTTGAAATTTTTAATGTTTTTCTGTAAATAAGTAATCTTCTTTACAATTTGAAAACAATACATCGTTTAAAAAAAACGTTTCTTTGGTTAAAATATTTTCAATATTTATACAGTTAGATAAAATAAAATAAATTTCTTTTGTAAAAATGAGACGAGAGACGAGAGCAAAGCGATTCAGGTTCTTCCCATCACTAAAACTCTACTTTTAAGGAGGAATGCCACACCAACTTTTTATTTTATAGATCTCTGAGTCAACCTTTTTAAACAATGGTTTCAGCATTGAAATCCCGACATTACCTCTAAATAATTTTATATGAAAAAAATTATTAACATCCAAATTAGATGCTTTCTTGTAATAATTTTGCTGTACATGAATGCATCACATAAATACCTAATAAAATATGTAAAGAAAAGCTGTAAAGATATTAAAAAAATTAAATAAAAAAATATTTATGAAAATAAAGCACATAATTTGTGAATATTTTTAATATTTGTGGTTAAAATCTTCTTAAAACCAGTCACAACTGGGGAGAACATGTTCATTAATCATATTTATAAAAGAAATTGAAACGAAATAGCCAAATTTTAGAGAAATTATTATTTTTTTTAAATTTGGCCAAACCCGATCAAAATTAAATCGATCCAACCATAATTGTACAATTATTGGAAATAAAGAACATTTCCCTAAGAACACTAGTCTGATTGGGTATAATAAGGGTTTAAACATTATTGAACTTGACAATAAAATAGATTTGTTCATATTAAATACATGAAAAGTCACTAAATTAGCATTTTATTCATTTTGTGTTAATTTTGATCGGGATCAGTTTAATTTTGATCGGGTTAGGTCCAAAAATTAAAAAAAATAATTTCTCTAAAATTTCTCAATTTCGTTTCAATTTCTTTTGAAAATATGATTGACAAACATGTTGTCCTCAGTTGTGACTAGTTATATGGTGTTTTTAACCATAGTTTTAAAAATATTTACAAATAATGTGTTTTATTTTCATATTTTTTTTTATCAAAAAAATTTAAAAAAAAATCGAACCAGCCTTTCTTTACATATTTTATTAGATATTCATATGGTGCATTCATTTTCAGCAAACTTTTAACTCGAAAACAAAATATTTGGATGTAATTATTTTTTTTAAATTGTCTTTGAAACCAGAAGTCTCTGTCGAGACTGTAGCTCTACTGGTTTGTACTTATCAAAAAACATTGCACTATTTTATGTATATTTGTGTAGTCTACTTGTGTGCAAACTTATTTTGAAATCAAACTAAAACTGTAGAAGGAGAAGCGTTTTAAAGGAATTTCACAGAAAATTCTATTTTTAGTAACCATGGTAACACCGTTCATCGAAATCAAAAACCGATGCACTATTCTATGTATCTTAGTGTAGTCTACGTGTGTGCCAAGTTATATTGAAATCAGACCAAAACTGTAGAAGGAGTAGCGTTTTAAAGGAATTTAACAGAAAATTCTATTTTTAGTAACCATGGCAACACCGTTCACCGAAATAAAAAACCGATGCACTTTTCTATGTATCTTAGTGTAGTCTACTTGTGTGCCAAGTTACATTGAAATCAGACCAAAACTGTAGAAGGAGTAGCGTTTTTAAGAAATTTCACAGAAAATTCTATTTTTTGTAACCATGGCAACACTGTTCATCGAAATAAAAAACCGATGCACTTTTCTATGTATCTTAGTGTAGTCTACTTGTGTGCCAAGTTATATTGAAATCAGACCAAAACTGTAGGAGTAGCGTTTTAAAGGCATTTCACAGAAAATTCTATTTTTAGTAACTTTGGCAACACCGCTCACTGAAATCAAAACCGATGAATATTCTATGTATCTTAGAGTAGTCTACTTGTGTGCTAAGTTATATTGAAATCAGACCAAAACTGTAGAAGGAGTAGCGTTTTAAAGGCATTTCATAGAAAATTCTATTTTTCGTAACCATGGCAGCACCGTTCATCGAAATCGAAAACCGATGCACTATTCTATGTATCTTAGTGTAGTCTACTTGTGTGCCAAGTAATATTGAAATCAGACTAAAATTGTAGGAGGAGTAGCGTTTTGAAAAATTTTTTACAGACAGACAGACAGATGGACGGACTCCGGACGCATTACTATCGCATAAGCTCTTCTGGTCTCTGACCAGTAGAGCTAAAAATACAAAAAAAAAATCTTATAAAAAAATTAAGAGCTAATATCTAGCTAATATCTAGCTAAGAGCTAATGCCGAAACCATTAAAAAGGATGACTCAAAGATCTATAAAATAAAAAGTTGGTGTGGCATTCCACCTTAAATGTGATTAATTATTCCGACAGTTCTGGATTCATTTAAACATACCCCACTTTTTTAAATTACTGATCTACATTACTGCACCATGCAAATTCAGGGACGTAGCATCCGGGGGGGGGGGGGGGGGCAGGGGGGGCCTGGCCCCCCATTTTTTTCCCAACATAACCTTTACTATAGTAAATGTTCATTGATAGGATGGTTGGCCCCCCACTTTATAACCATAGTATAGTGATAGCAAGGATGGTAAGGAAAAAAGAGGAAGTGATAGAAAGTTGGCTTTGAAAAAGTTGACCACTACCCCCCCCACCCCCCCACGAAATAGGATTTTCGAGTTTGGACAATGGACATTTTCCTTTTTTTTTTTTTTTTTTTTTTTTTTGCTTGTCAACTTTTTCAGGTAAGTAAAAAAAAATTTTTCTCAGGTTGGCCCCCCACTTTCAAAAACGATGCTACGTGCCTGAAATTCTCTCTCTCTCTCTCTGTAATGAAAAATGAAACTGAATTGACTTTAAATATGAAATTTGAAAAATGGCATCACTAACGATAGATAAATTTGCTGTTGTAAATTGGATGAATAAAAAAATAAATGACAACGTTTCTAACAATATTGTTATGATAAATAGCCAAAAAAAAAAAAAAAAAAAAAAATAAATGTTATGCCTTTGATTTGTAAAATTATATTTGAAAAAAAAATAATAATGGCGTGACACATATCGTTTAAAGTTCTCAAAGTAAGCAAAGGAACTATAAAAGGCAGAGATATACAATATGTCTGTGATCAGGTCCCTACAGTTTCCTGTTTGTATATATTTTGTCTATCAAGGTCCTTGATCCCGAGTCAGATTTAGAAAATGAGGCCGAAAGTCAAAGGGTAGATTTACCGGGAGGAGAACGGAAGGTGAGAAGCACTAATTAATAGGTTAATCCAATATTTCTCCAATGTCCTGTATATGCTGAATTATAATACATGTATATTTCCGTTAAAGTGAAATCTGTGGAAGCATTAGATTTCGTTGTGGCTAATTTTTCGTGGAATTCGTGGGTCACTCCAATCAACAAATTAATATTCACCTTAATATGACTAATTAAGGTTACAACGACATAATTATAGTCTTCTCTATGTATAAGAAAATGCAAGATATAACACCCCAAAAGCCTCTACAAATAAGGTAATCCACGTTTGACCTTTCTTTTCTGATGATTCTATGCGTTCTATTTTCATGCTTTATAAACCAAACAGCCAACCAACATCCGACCTCATGATAAAGAGGAACAACTCGAGGACAACCACGACAAACATCCACGTAACCTAGACAGGAACAAACATCCACGTAACCCAGACAGGAAAGGGGAAAATGACGAGGTATTTCAAACTGGAGAGATAGAGGGTTAGGGGGGTTAGTAAAAGGATAGAGAGAAAGAAAGTTAGGGAGAAAGACAGAGGAAGGTAAAGAGGAGGAGTTAGATGATTTTTTTGGGGAAACTCGTTCTTAAATATCCGTTTTTTGCCTATACATGCTAATTTTAACGAATTATAAAGCTTTTCATCTTCCTTTTATACCACTTTATTAGAGAAAACTGTATTTTAAAAAACTACCATTTTATTTCAAACCATTAGGCTATTTACTTATCCATACTTCTTTTTGATTGATTGATTGTATATTGTTTAACGTCCCTCTTGAGAATTTTTCACTCATATGGAGACGTCACCGATGCCGGTGAAGGGCTTCAAATTTAGACCTATACTCGGCACTCAGGGCCATTGAGCAGTGAGGGTTCTTTATCGTGCCAACGCCTACCGTGACACGGGACCTACATTTTTAAGGTCATATCCGAAAGACCCGTGACTTTCACTTCTAGTGCCGAGCGCTTGGCGAAGGAACAGTCACTACCTTTGTTTACGTCTTAGGTATGACGCGGCGCCGCGATCGAGAATCGAACCCGGGCCTCCCGATCACGAAGTACTTCTTTTTGTACAACTTTTAGAAGAGAAATCTGCATTCAAAGAGAATATTTCAGGATACTGCACGATTTTGGCCAAACGGAAGGATTCCATACTGGATTGACGAGGCAACTTATACCGACAGTTTGTATTTATTACCTTAAACTTTACATTTTGTAATTAGGAATAGAAATCTACTTTAGTAATGATTTCCTTAAAATCATTTTAAATCATTTTATTCAGACAAATCAGTGCTGTATTCAAATTTTTTCTTCATTCTTTCGTCGCCCGCGCAGTGGCCAGAGCGTCTACTCTAGAATCGCGAAGTAAGGAGTTGATCCTTAGGTCGCGGGTTCGAAGCCTTCTGTGGGATGTGGTGACCAGTCCTTCGGATGAGAACGAATAAACCGAGATCCCGTGTCACAGTATGTGTTTGCACGAAAAAAATCCCTTCCTGCTCAATGGTCCCGAGTTCCGAGCATTGGACATAATTTGCAGCTCTCCACCAGCAAGTGGTGGCGTCTTCATATAAGTGAAAAAAATTTGAGAGAGACGTTAAACAATAAACAATCAATCAATCCTCATTCTTTCCAAGTCTAAGAATATGAAACGGATACATGAGGGTCGCCAAATATATAACTATTAATTGACAAAGTTCCTTTATTTTGACGTAAATTTTCACATATTTTGTAGTACGTTTACTTTCAATAAACACATAGCAAAAGCTTGCTACTAAACTTAATTATTTCCTCACCAGATGTCGTTGGCAAAAAAAAGCTTTCAAAAATTAAGTATCTCAGAGAGAAAAAATACAAGCGTTAGTTTTAACACAAGCAACATTTTATGTTCTTACATATGTAGGGGGTTCAGGTAACCCGACTTAGCTATGTATAATTGTGCCATTTAAACGCAATTTATTGGTGTTTTTGAACGTATTTGATTGCATTATTATTCATAATTTATCTAGAAATTAAATATAATGAATTTTTCTACATTGTTTGAACTTTCGTATAATGTGTGTGTTATGTCATTCTGAAAAGTTTGTATTAAAAATTTACCGGGTCGAAGTTGTGCTAAAATTGGATACGGGGTTTCCCTTTTATGCATGGCACTGTAATTTTGTCTCCGCGACGTTGATAGCGTCATTTTGATTGGATTTTCGGGAGGCGATTTTTAAGGAATTAACGACATTGACCTATCACAGGAAAGCTTACATTTTGAAGATGAACATTTTTATTGTTGCATCTTGATGCAATGTGCAGAAGTTTATGTATTTTCGTTTCAAAGGAAAGAGGTCAATTTTACTACGGTAAGTAATCGAAATATTTTTATGCAACATACACTATTAGAAAGCTAAGAAAATTTCCTATCAGAATATTGTGGTTCTGTAATCATCTCGGAAAATAATTCACCCGGATTTCATTCAAAAGACGTCAACCCGACGCAACTTTTGAACAGTTTCTAAGTATCTTTAAATTCATGCACACTTTTGTATCGTAAAACGTGAGATTAAATAATTTTAGACTTATTGGAAAAAAAATCTAAGAAAACTGTGGTTATTTAAACAATAAAATGCTTTCTTTGTTTGTTGATACTGGAATGAACGGAAGCAGCTGTTGCAGAAAAAATACATAACCCGCGTAAGCGGGTTATGTAAATTTTTTCTGCAATAGCTGCGACCGTTCATTCCAGTATCAACAAACAAAGAAAGACATTTTATTGTTTATATTTATATATGTTTAAATAATCAATTTAAGTAGGATTAAAAAGATTATTATTATATTAATGATGCCAACGTCCTTATACGTTTCATTGATGGAACAGCCACTGATTAAGAAATCTGTACAGGCGACATGCCTACTGTAGTTTATGCAGTGATGAACGCAATGAAATTTCTTAAGAAATAAAGGAGAAAATATTCAGTGGATGTAAATATTTCCTACTACATAACATATACAGGGACCTATAGTTAACGATCCCTGATATAAATGTACAAATTTGATTCTGCAGCCTGGATTTCCTCTGAATTTTGAAATACTGTCTGTATAATAAATGAAAAACCCGAACTTCAAATGTGATAAAAGAAAATATTTATTTATTGTTTTACTTATAACTATAAAATATTTATAATTTCGTTTGTGAACATGATACTGTGTGGTTTAATTTTTTTCAGTGAGTATATATAGTTAGACTTCGGGAAAGTGCTAGAATCATTCCATATCATGATTATGGTACCCGCCTGCGGCCGGTAGTAGCAGAAGTCTGAGAGAAACTTAACACTCAACTTTTCCAGGAAGCATGGATAATATATACAATGATTGATTGAAACCGAAAGTTGATATCATGTATTTTAAAGATCTATGTAAATTTAAAAATAAAGTTGTGAATTAATTGTAGTAAATTTTTTCCCCCATTTTTTGCCATTTTCATGATATTGACATCTTTCTTCTTTGCGATGTCAAGACAGAACTCTAACTTTTTGTGACCATATTTTATTACGATCCTTATTTTAATAAATCTTTTAAAAGTAATAAATTGTAAATAATTCATAAAATTTCATTATTTATTCTTAACTCACCTGATTTTGAAAGTATGTTTTCAATAAGACTGTATCGGCTATTTTTACTATTGGCGGCCATATTGGATATTTTGCCGCCATCTTGGATATTTTTTAGCTGACATGAAAACAGAAAATTAGGCCTTGCATAGACCTTTCCGAAAATATATAGTTTGCCCTACTTCTAGATAAAATTAGACACTCTCCTTTAAAAAATACCTAGATTTAACGGGTTTTTCTTCCTTTCATGTGCCATCATTTCGTACTCGTATGTATAGAAATTTTCTTGCATAAAATAGCAGTACTCACAACATTGATAATTTCATAACTTCTGTTCTACTTGGAATTTTTTCACCAAGTAAAGTTTTTTTATATTTCTAAATGTGTCCATGTTAGTTCTAGAATATATTTAATTGAAAATATTTTACCGAAAATTTATACCTGAACCCCCTAACATATGTACTTTTAAATAATTATTACTAAAGGGTTTTCATATTTTACAGGTTTATTCCTTCTGATAACACCTAACATTGTTAAAAATTACTAACAAATTTTCCTTTTAAACCTGACTTTGAATTTTTTCTTTCATTCGAAAAACTTCAATCTTTGCCATAAGCTGCGATACGGGAACATCAGTGTTTCGAAAAGGCATTTTGTTCTCAGTAGAAAATAGCTTACAGGTATTAAGGTTTGATTTAAAAGAATATTTTTAATTTAATTCAAGACATTTGATTCTTTTTAGGTGGGTCCCTTGAGAATCTGAGAACCTTGATTAAAGATTCCATTAATCAGCTGGATAACTTTACGTGTGTAAGATGGATAGAGAGAACGACGGAAACAGACTACGTCCGGATCGTCAATGGCGATTCGTATGTACAATTTCTGTTAAAAATGATTTTTGAACCTAACAACCAAGTTATATGATAAACGTGGCGACTTTAAGTTTTCTATCGTCAACTTCCCTTATTACTTATGCAGCATAGAGAAATATACCTTTATCACCTGCATACGGAGTGTATATATCTCAGTTGATTCGATACGCAAGAGCATGCTCTAGTCTACGTATGAACAATTTCTAAAACGAGTTAATTATTGACAAGCAAACTGATGAAACAAGAATATCAACAACTTTGTTTAAAGTCATCATTTCGTAAGTTCTATGGTCGGTAAAATGACCTTGTTAGCAAATACAGTTTGTAATTGAGTCAAATGCTGACTGACGTTTTCATACTAATTGTTAGTCCAATATTTATACACTGAATTGACGACGGATTTTTCCGTTATTTCACGATCATGACTATGAGCATACGGCGCGTGTGACCGGTCAGCAGGGGATGCTCACTCCTCCATGGCACCTGATCCCACCTTTGATGTTTTGGAGGTCCGTGTTTGCTCTGCTCTTGTTTTATATTGTTTTATGGACTTTGAGATTGAATACTGTTCTTTATCTCCATATCCTTCTTTCAAAGGTACATAGACAGATTTGAAGTTAATATATTCTCAAATTTTCTGTATAATATTACAGCTTATATATTACGACAACATTTCACGAAAAATATAATAAAAATGTCTTTTCATCTCGAAGTTCAGGGCGGGTTTGATTGACAATTCCTTGCACTTTCATATATCTGAATTTTATTCTTACTACGCAGTACTAATCAAAAATAATAAAACTATAAATCAGAAAATTCAGAATAGAAATGTTCGTAAGCAAAAACAGCTCAGAATTTATTGTCAGGCTGTGATCCGTGGTGTGTACAGACTTTAACCATCGGAAAAATCGAATGATTCGTAAACATTAACAATCACAGAGCTCGTGCCCTGTTTTCAAAAACAGTTTTATTTCACGGGTGAATTCAGTTAGTTAAACTCTGTACACAACACTGAGCACGGATGGATGCTACTAATGAGGGGGTTTGCTTGCGGTCAATTCTACTCTGGATTATCTGGATAATAGTTTGTATTTTAAATGTATGTCTGATCAGTACATCTGAACATGCACCAAAACGTTTTAAATAATTAAATATTTAAAGTTTCTATATGTTATATGTTCAGATCATTCGTCTTATAATCTTCAGTTTTTTAGACCTCGTTATAAGCATACACGTATATTTAAGGTTATTTATTCCCTATTAAGTATTTGCAGTCTCTAAAATTATTTTTACTATAATGCTATCATTTCTTTACCCTATTCTGTTAAACACGACCCAATTTTAGTCTCAGGTAGTGATCTTCAAACAGAACGAATTTAAAGAACACAGAGGACTAAAATAGGCGTTAACTGCTGCCCGATCCCATTCACTTTTATCTGTGAATAAAATTTTTTTTATCAATGACCAAAAATAAAAAAAAAAACCAGAATAATTTCTGTAACAATACTGTGACTTGGCGAATTAAAAAAAAAATTGCAGCTGTTCAAGGGTGGAAATAACTCGGAGCGAAAATCACCCTGTATACATTATCTTATTTTTTTGTTTTTAGATGCTACTCCTATGTTGGCGTAGTTGGTGGTGCTCAAAATCTTTCGATTGAGGCTCCTGGTTGTATGACGGTGAGATACTATGTACGATAAAAGATAACTTTTGAAGAAATGAATTTCAAATATATGCAAAAAAAACTTTTAAAAGTTGTAATAATTTTGCTCCTTATTTTATAGATATAGTATCGCCAATGACTTGTTATTGAATATGATTTTCATACAACATTTTGTGTGTTTTTCTATTTGTGTGTTTTGCCACTTTTCCTTAAACTAAAATCATCTTAAATTGATCACAATATTTCTAAACATGCAGTGTAAAACATTTCTTTTTAGCTAACCTGAGTTGAAAATAAAAGTGAGATTTTCTGCATGATTACCAGTTGCCCGTCATCCGTCCGTCTGTCAACTTTTCACATTTTCAACGTCAACTCAAGAACCATTGGGCCAATTTTAACCAACTTATGTTCAAAACATCCTTGAGTCTATTGGAGTTTAAATTGTAAAATCCACTTACAAGGGGAGATAATCAAGAAAAGACACAAATAGGATGGGGTCCTTAAAAAAATAATTTCAAGAACCACAAAGGCCAGAAGAGCTGAAAATTATGTGGAAACATCCTTGAGTAGTGTAGATTCTAAATTGTTGAAATTATGTCCCCTGGTTAAGGTGAACCAACAATAAGGAATTCAAGTTTATATTGAAATATGTAGGACCTTTTTAATTCTTCTCTCCTCAAGAACCACAGGCCAGAAAACCTGAAACTTATGTTGAGGCTTTATGGGGTAGTGTAGATTTAACATTGTCCAAAATCATGACACCGTCTTGATGACGTCTCCATGTCGGGACCACAAAAGATATTTCAGGGGCTGATCTGGTCCTGAACAGCATGGCAATAGGTACTCAGGTGACCAATTTTTTTAAAAAATTTTTTAGGTACACACGGTCTTGCATGAATTCTTGCATGCAATGGGGGGAAGTCACGAACAGTCCCGTAGTGACAGAGCTAGCATGACGTCAATGATTTGGAATAAGATTGATTCTAAAAATATGTACAATTTTGTAATGGAAAACACCAAAAACGCACTTCCTTACGATTATAAATCGCTGATGCAGTACGAACTTGATGTAAGTATCAACTGTTTAAATAATTTGTAAAAAAATAATTCCTTAAGGTTGATTAGACATATTATTAGTTGTGGCTTTAAAGTTTCGAGTACTGTCGATAAAAGCTCTTAAGGTATTATTTAAAAATGATTTAATATGGACGTTTACAAATAATTTATGGATTTTTAGCTCGTACATTCATTATTATAAATCATGAGCATTTATAAAATTACAATGCATAGAGATTGAGAGTTGCAATAAAACAATGATTTGTTTACTTTGAAGTCATTTGGTAAAAATAGAGAAAATTCCATGTCTATCCCGGATATGAGTTTTGAATACCTGATTACAAATAAGAAAGACCATCTCAGCCTTTACGACATAGGTGAAATTAACAACGCCTATAAATGTACTGGTAAGTGACGTCATTCAATAGAGCTAGATCGACATAGGCGAAATCAACAGCGCCTATAGATGTACTGGTGAGTGATCTCATTCAATATAACTAGATCACCCCCTTCCCCCCCCTCCCCCCCCCCCCCCCCCCCCCCAAAAAAAAAAGACTAGAAGCAAATTATATTCCAAGTGCATCTAATTGTTAGTTTAAAATATAATTATACCCCCGCAAACGAAGTTTGGGGGGTTATATAGGAATCACCTTGTCCGTCTGTCTGTCTGTCTAGCTGTCTGTGCAAACGTGTCCTGTCCATATATTTTTAACGGAGGGACATTATAATCTACTACTCTACACAAAGATTGCCCATGACCTAAGGGTGTGTCCTGACCTTGACCCAAGGTTATTTGGGAAACTTCAAGGTCACTGAAAGAAAAAATTTCATAATTCGTGTCCGGTCCATATCTTTCTTATCGATAAACTTGGTAGGTTCTCATTTCACACAAAAATTGCCCATGACCCAGGGGTATGTCATGACCTTGACCCAAGGTCATTTGGGGAAGTTCAAGGTTACTGGAATAAAAATTTCATAATTCGTGTCCGGTCCATATCTTTCTTATGTGTAAACTTGGTAGGTTCTCATTTCACACAAAGATTGTAAATGACCAAAGATTGTGTCATGACCTTGACCCAAGGTCATTTGGGGAATTTCAAGGTCACTGGAAGAAAAATTTCATAATTCGTGTCCGGTCCATATCTTTCTTATGGATAACCTTGGTAGGTTCTCATTTCACACAAAGATTGCCCATGACCTAAGGTAGTGTCATGACCTTGACCTTGCGAGCTTGACCCAAGGTCATTTGGGGAAGTTCAAGGTCAAAGAAAGAAAAATTCATAATTTGTGTCCGGGCCATATCTTTCTTATGGATAAACCTGGTGGGTTCTCATTTCACACAAAGATTGCCCATGACCTAAAGGTGTGTCGTGACCCTGACCGAAGGTCATTTGGAGAAGTTCAAAGTCACTGGAAGAAAAATTTCATAATTCGTGTCTGGTCAATACTTTTCTTATGGATAAACTTGGTAGGTTCTCATTTCACACAAAGATTGCCCATGACCTAAGGGTGTGTCATGACCTTGACCCAATATCATTTGGGAACTTCAAGGTCACTGGAAGAAAAATTTCATAATTCATGTTTGATACATATATTTATTATGGAAAAACTTACTACTGAAAAACCCAGTGGGGGGTATTTTGTCCCATTTGGACAGTTCTAGTTTTGTTAAATATTCATTTACTAATAGTCTGGTCCCAATTTTTAAAAAGAAGGCTAGAAATAACTTCTACGGCAAATTATTATTATTTGGTCCAGCATAGTTTTTTAACCTAATTCGAGTATGCTGAATCCGAAAAAATATGCTGGCCTTCATGAAAACGGCATTAAAGAGGTCAAAATGGCGATTCAAAATGGCGGACATCCAATTTTTCTAATTTTCTCTTAATCTCGTTTAAAATGGACAAGTAATGAGTGAATATCTTACTGAGTGTAATAAAACTATAAAAATATAATAGAATGCTAACATTATTAGTTTAACTCAGAAAATTTAGCCGTTTTTACACTTAATTCGAATTTTCTCTGATTTATTTGTCTATTGTTTCTTTATTCTTCTTTGTTCAGGATTTTACATTTGCAAATATCCATACACTGTAGGTTTGTATTTTTTCCTCTACATCTCACTATTCTACAATTGAATAATGGTACAGCTGTAAGTTAAAAGTCAAAATGGCGATTCAAAATGGCGGATATTCCTTTTTTCAAATTATTTCTTAATGCCTTTTACATTGGAGAAATGATTTGTGAATATCTTATTGAGCGATGTACAACTATGTAAAATTCCAATAGAACACTAGTATGATCACTTTAAATCGGAAAATTAAGTCGTGTAAATTTAAAATGTGTTATTTAGCTCAAAATGGCAATTCGAATGGAGTTTTATACACTCGATTTCGTAAAATACCCAAACTGCTTAATTCTGATTTGTTTTGCAGAAAATAAATAACAGGTTTTTCTTTATTCATGAAATAATGTTCAAATATGTTATAGAAGTTAATGGATATTTTCATTAATGACTTAGGATTTTTATAAAGCGGATTTTTGTTTAATTACTTCTATTATCAAGATAAACTTTTGACGACAATTCTGAAGACATTTCACCTATTATTCGTCATACATGTATCATGATTCTTCCTATAAAAAGTTAATAATATCATACAATAATTGCTGTTTTGAGGACAATTTGAAAATTAAGCTACCCCAAGAGCAGTATTCACCGAGCATTAAGGCGAGTGAACATTGTAGTTCGAGGGTTGCTAAATCATATCGGTGGTTGGAAATTCTTGATCTAATTTTAGTCAAGTGTAGAAAAAAATGTTAATGTTCACGTGGAAGATCTAGTGCAACATAACTTAGTATGATTTTTAAAATGATGAACCACCAGCAATTAGAGGGCTTAATCAGAGAGGTAATTGTTACATCATATAAATCTGAATATATTATAATATCCAAACATAAACATTAATTAAGAATTATCAGTATAATATACCTAAACCATAATTTTTTTTGATTGTCCAGCTCTGATTCTGTGGCCCTACATTTGGATTTTGTTATTCTCGGTCAAAAATTCAACTGCATTCTGAAATATTTCATGGTGTGAACGGTCCTCCTCCACCAATTTTGTATTGAACAGTGTATATAAATTAAAAATTTTAAAATTTACAAAATCTGAAAGAAGAAAATTTTTTTTTAATCCTCCCTCGATTCTTGATACATGTACAACTTTACACTATCCTAACGAAGAAGTGTTGATCAAGTTACCTTGTAAGGTTCTTGGAGTGTTCAAGAAAATTTTGTTGTCAGGAGAAGTGCTGACTAGATCGAAGTCAAGAATGGCTTAGGCCTATTGATACGAAACCTTGTAAATGATAGGAATCACGAGGAATCTGCAGGCGCTATTAAATTGCATCATTTTAACTTTTCTCACCAAAATATGCACACAATGTGATTCCAGATGATGAAGTTTGAGAATTTTCTTGCTAATAGAATGACCGTTCTACCCTAAAAGAAAACAAATCTATACGCAGTCACCAAATAAAGAGCTACATGTCTTAAATATAAGAGATTTTATTTTATACACCACCCACCGATTGAAAAGCGGGAGGGTATAGAGTAGTCGGTATGTCCGTCCGTCCGTATTTACGCTTTGGGGTACCCGTCTCTTATCCGCAAATCGTCTCATACCACTAGATAAAATTTGATAAACTTTTACAGAATCTTTATTACATATTGCCATTGTGCACCTCCTCTTTTACTTTTTGATCCAACACATATTTTGGGTTTCACATAGCAAAACATAGACACTGTGTATTCATATGGGTGACGGGGTATCATTTAGTGAGCTAATTGCTCACAGTACCTCTTCTTCATTTTGCATAAGGTTTTTGAAAACAAAATAAACTTTTAACATTTGAACATAATGTATTGTTCCTTGAATGTTGATTGATTGTATATTGTTTAACGCCGAGTCGGCTATTTTCAGCCATGTTTCGGTGGACTATCAGGGCACCGTTTTACTTGAGTGTTGAAAATACCAAAATTCCGAAGACAGAGTGACATATAAAATAAAGCTGGAATAGAAGATGTTAGGGGATAAAACTAAGTTCTTATAAGTGCTAAAAAGCTAGAACAAAGTATTCGATGAAATCGGAAACGAATTTCCTCAGTTATATTTGATGGTATGCTGAGGGATGTTGAGGTAGAAATGCGAGTTGATAAAGACTGGATTCAGGAGTGATTTTAGGTGGACGGGGGCTCAAAGGCTTTGGAACATGGTCAAATACGAACCGGAAAATTTGGAAACTCTGAAGTCGAGTTTGTTTTAACTATTTCCAGAAAAAATGAATCTTTTCTGATATTTTTTGTTTGTTAATATTTAATGGAATAATCAATATACTATAATTATATATAAAAAACAAACTGTAATTTATTTTCAAAATTAAGCAGTTAGAGTATTTTACGAAATTCGAGTGAATATGACGTCATTTTAAGTTTTGAGCTGATTAACACATTTAAATTTAAACGACTAAATTTTCCGTTTTAAAGTGTTCATATTAATGTTCTATTGGAATTTTACATTAGTTAAATGTACTCGCTCAGTAAGATATTCACAAATCATTTCTCCTATGTAAAAGACATTAAGAAATGATTTGGAAAAAGGAATATCCTCCATTTTGAATCGCCATTTTGACTTTTAACTTACAGATGCACCATCATTCAATTGTAGAATAGTGAGATGTAGAGGAAAAAATACAAACCTACAGTGTATGGATATTTGCAAATGTAAAATCCTGAACAAAGAAGAATAAAGAAACAATAGACAAATAAATCAGAGAAAATTCGAATTAAGTGTAAAAACGGCTAAATTTTCTGAGTTAAACTAATAATGTTAACATTTTATTATATTTTCATAGTTTTATTACACTCAGTAAGATATTCACTCATTACTTCTCCATTTTAAACGAGATTAAGAGAAAATTAGAAAAATTGGATGTCCGCCATTTTGAATCGCCATTTTGACCTCTTTAACGCCATTTTCATGAAGGCCAGCATATTTTTTTCGGATTCAGCATACTCGAATTAGGTTAAAAAACTATGCTGGACCAAATAATAATTATTTGCCGTTAGAAGTATTTTTTTCTATAAATCGGACCAGACTATAACTTAAGTTTCCAGTAAATCTGATTATTCAAATTTAATACGTTTTACATGCATTGTAAAACTAAAAATAAATTTTAAAAAATCATAGAAAATTGGCTTAACTTGTATACATGTGTTCATTCGTCTGCAAAGCTGATTGTTTCAATCAATGTGAAAATGGAGGCGTGCTCACAAAAGAAAACGGCCAGTGCAGATGTAAATGTCCGTCCGGTTTGAAGGGGGAAGACTGCTCTGAATTAGACACAAGTGACGGTAAGCATTAAGAACCATTCTTTGTAATGATTTCAAATTTTATATAGGAGCTGTGGCACGCATAGTCTCAGAATTTCTCCAAACTCTCTATGATAAAAGTCATTGATACCCTAAACTGAAATCAGGCAAATATTGGTTGCTATGTTTTATTGTTACATGTACCATAGCAACATGTCTTAAAGTTCGAAAAATGGCGTTTTTAAACATGTTTAGAGCGTCATAGTTAACATTTGCGGCAAAGCAAACAATTAGCAATGACTGTTTCCAAAAGTTGAAGGTCAGATGTCTCAAATGCACTATAAACATGTTTTGTAAATCAACTATTACATAAGTTACTATGGTAACAAAGTATTCAAAAGTAAAAAAAATATTCATTGAATTTTATAAAGTCATACACATAAAAATAAAAAGCAATTATAGGAGGAAATGTGACCAAATAATAGAAAAAAGAGCCTTGAAACATATACCAAGAACAAAATATTATATTTCATTTTGGTTGGCAATGGTTGCCAAGGTTTTTATACCACAGAGAGCCTTCAAAGTAACACTATGTATGTTTAAATCTGATCCTATCTTTTAAAAAAAAACGCATTTCCTCATAACTAATGATCAATTTTATAAGATGTTGGTGTGTTTTCCCATGTGAAAAATTCAGATTAGATTCTTTAGATAGAGCGTTGCTATGGACATAAGCAGAAAATATATGCTTAAAAATCTGAAAAATATTTTCTTTTCTTGGATACTTACCAATAAATGTAGATTCCCAAAACTTTTATGATTGATATTTATTAACAGCTAACTTGACTTTTAATTTTGACTATCATCCAATCTCTAAGTGGATGCAAGAAGTTGGCACACAGGGTTTAATATTGATATAAAGTTCACAAATCGAACATTTTCCCTTCTTGGTTATCATAGCAACAGTGTTGTTTTATTCATCAAACTTTATCAATATAGGATATTCAACTTCAGTTCTAACATTTAAGTACTATTCAAGCTGAGTCCTTTAATTTGTTTCTTGATTAAATGGCAATTTAATTCTTAATGCAGCGAAAAATAATTCACTTTTAAGCACTGGTACTTTGTTTCCGTGGTAACACTGCAAGGTAGCAATTATATTCAATTTTTCTTATGGTTTTTGTGTTGCAAGGTCCTAAGGATGCATATTTGCCAGTCTTGAATTTTCATGTTTTTCCTCAAGACAATAGCACTTACCCAATCTTAGTGACTGGTTTTGCATGGTTACACTGTGTTACCATGGCAACCATAAAAGTTATTTATAGAATAATATTACTTATACTTAAATACTTAAGGCCATATCGATACATTTTCATTGTTTTTTCTTAAGTCGTTGATTGAGTTTGAGCATGTAACACATACCATTAGTGAATATGGAGTGTTTTTCAGCATATTTCAGCATTTTAAATGTATTCCAAATGTACCCTTGGTTACCACTTACTTAGAGATATATTCTAAACAGTTTCTTCCCAGTATAAGTGACATCAAGGTGTCATGTTTTTGTGGGAATGGTTTGTTTGCTTTTTCTAGTTTTTATTAAGCCACAGTCAAGATTTAAAGTGGCTGAAAATTTCAATTTTTCAAACTTTTCCGGCTGTTGCCATAGCAACCGAGACACATAGCAACGAAATTTTGTTTGATATTTGTTTCTGGTGTCAAGTACTAAGCATGGGTGAAGTTTCATCAAAATCGGTGACCATGCATGGCAAAGAAGTTTAAATGGTTACAGAGAATGGCTTTTAAAAAACTTATTTATGCCCTGCCATGAATATGGCCGGGGTATATATTTGTCATGTCCGTCTTCCGTCCTTCTGTCCTTCCATCCTTCCATCACACTGTATTTAGCTCAGTGCAAAGCTCATTTTTAATACAACTATCCCAAATATTTTTTTATCAAACTTCATATGATCTGAGAAATTGATAAGTTCTGTGAAACTGCATCAACATTTTTTTTTTATCTTGACCTTTCCTTTAACCATAACCCCACTTTTTAAAAAAAAATTACTGTTTAACTAAGTTTTAAAGATACCAGTCAGGAAAGTGTGATCAAACTTCATATGTTGATATATACTGATGTAAGTTATTCAAATGCATCAACATAATTTGAACTTGACCTTTCCTTTGACCTTGACCTCACTTTCCTTAAATTAGTATTTACTTTATTTCTCAAGATACCATTTAAAAATCAAATTAGTGTGATCAAACTTCATTTGTTAATATATATGTTGATACATATTGATGCATATTGATATAGCTATTCAAATACATAAATATTTTTTACCTTGACCTTTCCTTTGATTTTGAGATCACTTTACTTAAGTAATTGAAAACTTTGTTTTAAAAGATACCATTCAAGATTATGTAATCAAACTTCATATAATAATACATACTGATACAAGATTTTCAACTGCATCAACAATTTTCTATCTTGGTCTTTCGTTTGACATTGACAAATCTTTTCTTAGGTACCTACATGTATTTAGCACATTTTTAGATAAACCATGAAAAATATTTAAAGATATTTTATCAAACATAATATGCTAATACATAATAATGGGAGCTATTCAACTGCATCAATATCTTCTGACCATGCACTTTGCTGTGACCTTGACCTCTTTTATTTGTATTTGTTTAGTTTTAAAGAAAACAAAATTGATCATATAAACCTAATATTTTACATTTCAAATTCAATTTAAAGAAACTGCTCAAGATATTTCATCAAAACTGAAAACATTAATACAAATTTTCATGTTGCCTTAGTTATATACATCTACACTTGGCGGGGCATATTCATGTCCTATGGACATATGTGTATGTGTAGTTTCTTATTTAACCTCCTCCCCCATTCCACAAAAACTGAAGAATTGTCAGATTTTTGTGAACTGTTTTGTAAGTCAGGACTTTCTATTTTAATTCATAAATAACTTCATTGCCATACAGTTAAAAATAATTGAACCTTAAGTGAAGCTTCGACAATTTTTTTTTTGGGGGGGGGGGCTTCTTTTCATTTAGGAAATTATTTGATTACTGTATAGTATTTACTGAGACAGTATGATAAAATATTAACATGTTAATTTGAAATAAATTAGATATTTGTCTTCCTATTCAACGCGGTTTAATTCACGTCATGTGGCTCCTTGTTCTAAGCCAGATTAAATATTATTGACGTGAGACCATTGTAAAAGAGTCTGAGAAATGAACGACCGTTAACTCTGCATAGAAGATTGAGTTCTATGCAAGCCTATAACATGATATGGATTTAGTGAAAGGGTGATACACTCCTTAGGTAACTTTTTATACTGTTCTAAAAGCTTTTTATTACTCAAATGATAAACATGTAAATCATATTGTCAGGTTGTGGCGGCTTCATACAACTCGGCTTAGGAGAAGCGTATACAATCAACATGGATTCTTATAACTCAGGGGTTATTTGCACTTGGGTTGTCAAGGTAACTATAAATTTAAAGTAAAATTCCTGATATGTCATGAGTATTCATCGATCGTGGTACAAGAAAAACCCCCTTTCTGGAAACATAATTAAAAAAAAACTTTTTGATATTCTTGATATATATATATATATATATATATATATTTATTTGAATTTATTTACAAAAATACCTATCATCTCTCAAAATGAAAAAAACAACATTCCAGATATAAGTGAACAAATATTTGGTAATATTTACATGCGCTGTTTTTTTGTTTTTTAGTCAACCAACTGTGAAATTTATTTGAATACCATTTTCATGTATATCCACGCGTAGAAATATACATGGAGAAAAGTGCGCTAACGCGAAGTCACAATTAGGCTATATAGACGTTAGTAAAAATGTAACGATATAGGCCATCTAGAATTTCGAACATTGGTATATTTATTGTATATTTTAAACATATAAAATGTAAAAATAAGGAATGTTTTTCACTTAAATGTGAATAATTGGTGTCACAGAAACTTATTAAGTTTCAGTCTTCTCAAAGAAATTTTTACTTAATACCGGATCGATAGATATTCAGTGTTTCAAAAAAGATATAAAAACATAGACTTTGTGTAATGTCATTCAAATTAATAGGAGATATCATTTCATGGGATCAATAATCAAATTAATTATATCTTGTTTGAGATTTTACTTTCAAATCATTCAACATTGTTTATAGGGAACAATGGGATCTCGTATAACAGCTATGGTTGATTTTATGGATCTACCATTCAACGAATTCTACGATTGCTACCATTGGCTGGAGTTCCGGGACTATCTTATAGGCGATAATGGCAAAGAGTGAGTAATACTGGTATTCCGGGGGAAAAGCAGAACTTGTGTTTGAAATCCACAGACCGTTTATATATTTCATGAACAAGACAATGGTCTGCTGTTTCCTCTGCTTCTGATATGTATACTTTAAATAATCAAATCAAAGATAAAGAAGGCGGGTAGAGTTTTACCTCGTCGATTCGTTTGCATTAAAAAAAAGCAATAACTTCTTTAAGTATAATTATACATGTAAAGGGTTTTTTATCCTATTTTATTTTCTTCGAAGATTGAAAATTCGCTTATGACAAATGGACAAGAAATAAGAATTTCCTTTCTTTACTTTCAAAATTATAGCAATTTTTGATATAATTGAAAAAAGAACAATAAGCAAATTCAAAGAATTGTGAACCAACAAACAAATTCAGAGTTGTGGTCCCCCCTTTTCGGTGTATATGTTGGTTGGATGTCATTTTTATGGGACAATTGTGTCAAATATAAATGTCCTTTAAGAAGTTATCACCGAAATTGATATAAAATATAGTTCATATGTGAAAGTCAAGATCAAGGGGTCAGACGTGATAAGTTATCTTGTCAAAGGGAATGCAAATGTCAAATATTGAAGCCATATCTCTTCTCAATCAAAAGTTATAAGGAACAATGAACAATTTTAAAAAATAGGTCAAACTTCAAGGACAAGGTCACAAGATCAAAAATCGTAATGCATTTAAAAAGTTCTTGTATTTAGCGATACACAGGTTTAATATGAAAGCCCTTGTTTTCTTATTCAAAAAATCTTGAGCAAGGTTATTTTTTTTCTATGAAGGTCAAACTTCAAAGTTAAGGTCAATAGGTAAAAAATCATACTGCATTTAGAAAAGGTCTTATCACAAGTAATATACATGTGCAATATGGAAGCCTTATCTTTTCTTATTTAAAAGATACATGTATGACCGAGGTTCAAGTTTTTGTGAGGGACGGACAGCAAGACAGACTGACAGAAGAATGAGATTTAATGTCCCCTCCCTTTTGCAAAGCGGGTGCACGTGACAAAAAGTTAAGAGATAAAGAAAATCATTTGGTCGTATTGTTTAATTAGCATAAAATAATTAATCAAAACGATATTGAAGAAGAAAAAACAATTCAAGAATAAAACGAATAATAAAAATACGCTGAAAATATTTGTGTCAAATATAAAAATTTTATTTTTATATTTATTTATTTCTCTTTCCACGTTTTAAAGATTATTCTATAAAGTCACTGAACTTACTTTAAAAAAAAAATTAAACATCATCGTAATGTTTCAACTTTCTATTGTTAATGTAAAATTGTTTGCATAAATCCTTTATTTAAAAAGAATATCGAAAGATCATTGAGCCATACAGGGATCACTGTGGATTTTAATGTTGATGGGCCATTGGCCCATCAACATTAAAATCCATGGGTATACGCCGGGGGTATGGGGGCCGCGTAGGCCCCCATTGGGGTCCCGGGCAACGCCCGGTAGGGAATTGATTTTCCATGCTATTTTGTGATGAATTTCAAGTAAATATGATGGGTCTTTAGGGTTTTTAAATGCCATTTCTGACACAATCAATTTAATTTTTTTTTAAATAAAAATATAAAAGATTTTTTGTTTAATTTCATCTCAGTACTGAAAAATGTCATATTGGAGAGTTAATTCCTCGCCCCTTTGATTTTATCGATTTAGTTCTCGAAGGTTGTTGAAGAGCTAAACTATAAAGGATGCAAACTTGCATGCACATTTCTCTACTCACTCACTCAGAATAGACCTGGGGCAGTTGCAGATTAAACTTGGTTCAAATGGTAGGGACTGGTTTTGTATGCAAAGAACTCGGAGCAAAATACGCAAAAAACTTAAATGAGAGAATTTTTATTTGTTTGCAAAACATTTTAGTCCCATCTGATCAAATTCCAACCACGGATGCAAAGTTAGCCACTTGGACTGGAAATGACGACCATCGTTGCCGTTGACATCAGGAGTCAACGTCTTGGACTGTTCTTCTTAATCAGAGACCTCTGCCGAGTCTGGGAATGAAAAAGTTTCCGTCGTTTTATTTGTAAAACAAACGAAAGCTTTCGTTGTTTTGGGTTAGTTGGCCCAATACCGATCTTCGCTTTGGAGGCATTTCGGGCAAGTGTCTGGATACACAATGAGTAACTTGTACTTGTTTTGTTTCGAAATAAATAATCAAAGTTTTAAT